AATACAGAACTTTTTTCAGTTTAAAGCAAGGCCTAAAGCAATATGCAAGGATGGCCAAAATGAGGTACAAAAAAATGCTAAAATGGGGAATATACTCACCCTTGAAGATCAACTTTGAAACCAGCAACCTCAGGGGCCAAAAACCAAGTTTCAGAGCTCAAGTAAAACTTCTAAGAACCTCAGCCCAAAGATGATGGTGTATCTCTATGTGTTGTAATGTAAAAGTGCAAGAAAAATGGACTTTAGAACACTATTCTATACAATAAAGAGAGAGAGAATGAGAAATATATATATAGAGAGAGAGAGAGAGGTCTTTCTTCTCTAAAATGGCTGAACTTCTGCTAAGGAGAGAGGGTCTCTCCTTATATAGAAGAGGAGCAGTGCAAAGCTTGTTGAACAAGCTTGGCAAGAGCTTCATCCTTCCATACACGTGTATGGAGGGAAAAGGAGTGAAAACCTGTAATAACCCCAATCTGTAATTAGCTACTAATCTGTATTTAAGGATGTTAATAAGAGGATTAAAATAAATTATGTGTTCATTTCGTAGTTTGCATGATTTTGGCTTTCTATCTGTTACTTGTAGAAATATCTGTTTAGAATTCCGCTTTAATATGAAAATTGAAAGCCTTATCGTCATCCGAAATCGAAATTGATTACATCAATGTGTTATTTGGAATTTTTAGAACGCTATGGCAAATTTTATTAAAGATCGATTCAGAACGATTAATTAAGTTGTGTTTGGTTGGACCAATGTTCTAAGTGTTGTATTATTTAGCATTTCAACTATAAGTGGGCTTTAGACTCATTCTTGAACTCACACATATTTTCTTTGAGTGAAAAATTCTGAGACTACATTTTAAAGAGAGAGAGAGTTCATCTTTAGAGAGAGAGAGTGTGTAGAAATTAAAGAGAATTGAAGGCTTTGGCTTGAACTCATCAAGATTGTGCAAGGATCTAGTTAATTCAAGACTATAGGTATGAATTTAACCCCTAATTTATGAATCTACGTCATCAACATGAAGATTACGAGTTTAAATGTGCACATTGAGCTTAGAATAAGTATTTGAGTTACAATTCATACATACATGCCCATGTAGGTGTTAATTTACCATGTTAGTTTTGTATTTCACCAATTGTGTTGAATATGAAGGTTGAATGGTACATGCATGCATATTTCATCAAGTTTTGTAAGTCAATCCCATGTTTTTGAAGTCTTGAAAAAGAATTTGGAAGAGAAATCCACATGCATGCATGAATATATGGAGTTTTGGCATGTTAAGTTTGATTTTAAGCATCTAAGTTATATTAGTAAGTTATTTGGTGCTTGCATGTTAGAATTGTCATGTTAATCACTTAAGTTCATGTTTTGTAAGAGAATTTCTTACATGCATGGAGCTTATGAGCTCAATTTGATAGTTTCTTGAGTTTTAAATAAAATAGTTTGAAAGATTTTACATGCATGCTTTGTTTCTTAAATTTCAAGATGAACTGTGAGCTTTTGACAAAACCTTGGGCCATGATTTTGTGAAATGATCCTAAATTCTTCATGTTTTACAAGTTTACTATGTTATCTCAAGTTTTGGGGCCTAAGAGATGTGTTTTGGAAGACTGAATTTGAGTTTTGAGCTTGGTGATCAAATCTGGAAATTCCAAAATTTGCATCCACGCTCGAGCGTGGGAGTTCACGCTTGAGCGACCACTCTGAGTGCATGCACTCCGCTCGAGGGACCAAAAGTCTGCTCAAGCGTGAATTGCAAGCTCCCAGAAGTTTCATGTCTTTTACAGATCGTTCGAGGGAGGGAATATGCACTCGAGCGACCATTCTCATTTTGTATGTCCGCTCGAGCGTGGAAGTTGTAGCTCGAGCGTAGATTGAGACCAACCAGTACTTTCTCCGAGTTTGCAGATCGCTCGAGCGAAGGAAGTCTCGCTCGAGCGACCCCTCTCATTTTGCATGTCCGCTCGAGCGAGAAAAGCTACGCTCGAGCGTGGACCTTATTTTTAGAAATTTGCCTAAGTGTTCCAAGGCATGTTTTGACATCCTCATTGTATCTTAGACATTCCTAAGCTTTAATTAAGCCATAGTAATGAGGTTATGGATTAGAAACACACTAAGGTATGAATGTACTAAGTTAAGGGAATGCAAATAGGTGTGTTTTAAGCAATGAGCTAAGAATTAACAAGAACCAACGTAATGTAAGCTAAGCCGTACTGGCCACTTAAATGCGTAATGATAAGACATGCTTGTGTTATGTATTTTGTGATTGTAGGTCAAGACTTGAGGACTGATTGACCGCTTACTGGAACCACTGTGAGTAATATTTCTGTAAAGATATGTTGATATGAAATTATGTTCCAAACGAAGTGTAATAAGCTATGATTTCTGAAATCATATCTGTTTTCGTAAACGAATAGTCCATGTTTGAAATCTATTATGGCATCCATAGATCGTCCCAAGTCATGGGGGACGGCATGCGGGTCCATGACATACAAGTAATTACGAGATCTCGTTAGCCACTTCATTGTGGTGATATGTGTTTAATCGGTATCTGGAACCGATTACTCTAGTCGGAAGACGTTCTGTGATGTGTGCTATGGGATGTACCATTATTATGTTCTGATATGAGGATGATTATGCTATGATCTGTTTTCTGCTTATGATATGTTCGGATTTCGTTCACTAACCCCTTTACCTTAATGTTATTCACTAGGCTTTAGCTCACTGTTTGTATATATATATGTATACGTGAGCATTCTGGAGCCCGAGCCTGAAGGCTTTTGTTTGGATCTGTGATCCGTTATCAGCCAACCATTGTGCCTCACGTGGAGGTTCTCGAAGCGTCCTGTGTTTAAGTTCTGTGGTTTCTGTTTATATAAGACTTGATTTGATGTCGTTGGCTGTACTTGAAATACTGTAATGTGTGTAGGTATAATATATGAATGATTTTTGATTATGTATATAAAGTTTTAAATATTTTGTTCATATAAGTCAGCACAGCTCATTGGATAATTATATTTATGTATTTGCTTCCGCTAGCCCCCTTAATTTTGTTAATCTGTTCAGAGGCCATCGGTAATCCAAGGATTACTAACTGGTTACGATGCTAAACCTATAGGGACAGGTTTGGGTCGTGACAAAACCAGCTGGCTCAAAAGATCTAGCGTGAAACCTGTTGAGACAAGGGTTCTGCCGGCCATCAGCAGTGGCCGGCAGTGGCTTATTGATAGCCGGCATGCTTCATCAATACCCGGCAGTAACAAAGGCATGGCCGGCAGGGCCAAAATGGGGCCGGCAGTGCACCAAGAGAATCAAATTGGAAGGGCCAATACATGGTCCAAAAATTGGGCAGAAAGGATACAGGGTTTGGGAAGTTCAAACCTGTGACATTCCGCCGCAACAGTCGAGTACTCAACAAGCAATCGAACTAGTTGTTGGATGTACCTGCAAGCACAACCAAGTCTTGAAGACGGTCAAAAATGGGGTGTCTACACATAATTAATAAGAAAGGTAATTTAGTAAATTGACAATAATATTATGGGGTGTTTGGGAAAGATTTTTTTAACTTTTTGGGTTAAAATTCACAAAATAATAAAATAGGTTAAAATAATTAATGACACAAAATGACACATCAAATTCATAATCATTTCACTTTTTTTCTTACAAACATCACATCTTATTACAAACAAAACTAACTATATTCTCAAACACAAGAATTATAATCTACTAAAATAGTCAAAAACTAAAATAACCAACTAAAATAACAACTTTCAAAACACCCACTATATTAGACAATAATTAAGTAAAATTTGCAAAAAAAAATTGATGTATATTGAAAAAATAATTGAGAGATTTTTGTAATTTTGATAAAGAAATTTGAATTTATCTTCAAACAATAATTGAACGATGAGATAATGAAAAAAGGGTAAATTACATTGACACCTTATGAGGTTTATGTTTATTACAGTTCGTCCCCTCATCTTATTGAAAACTGCATCCCTTTCCCTGAAGTTTAAAGTTTCATTACAGATTGCTCCCTCTAGCAATTTAATTTTTTTAAATACCAATATTGCCCTCACTAGGTAAATTACATTGGCACCTCTCACATTTTAGAAATTACAATCCCCTCCCAAAGGTTTAAAGCAGCATTACCAATTGCCCCCTCGGTTAGTATTAATTGAAAAGAAAAAATAATTGAAAAAAAAAATTAATTAGAAAAAAAATTAATTGAAAAAAAAATTTATTAGTTAAATTTTTAAATTTCTGTTTAAAAACTGAATTTATGTTTTTTCCTCAAATTTACAAATTGAGACAATCATTTATAAATCAAAAAAATTATTAAACAAGTTTTTATGACAGTTTTTAAAAAAAAATTAAATATAAATTGAAAACTGAAAGCGAAATGGTTACCAAACAGGTCTCGGTAAAAATATCGTAAAATTAATAAATAATTAAATAAGTTACTAACGTAAGAAATGACTTATCAAAAGATTCTTAAGTTATTTGTGGTTTGATTTTTAAATTTTTTTTTAAAAAAATTAAAAATTAATTTGGTTAAGAAATAAAAAATAAAAAATTATTATTATTTTTATATAATTTTTATCTTTCGAGTGTAATAAACATAAACCTCAAGGGGTGTCAGTGTAATTTTTATCTTACGTTAGTTTTTAAACAGAAATTTAAAATTTTGATAACAAATTTTTTTTCAATTAATTTTTTTTTCAATAATTTTTTTTTTCAACTAATACTAACCGAGGGAGTAATTGGTAATGATACTTTAAACCTTAGGAAAGGAATTGTAATTTCTAAAATATAAAAAGATGCTAATATAATTTACCTAGTAAGAATAAAATTGATATTTAAAAAAATTAAATTACTGAGAGAAACAATTTATAATGAACTTTAAGGAGTTGTAATTTTTAAAAAGTGTGAAAAATTGTAAAAAAATTACAAAATCGTAGGAGGATAAAGATAAGGATGAAGACGAGATTAGGATTGATATCGCATATCCTTCGCGTATGAGCCGCGTGAGGAGTATGTGAAGGAAGTGACCGATGCTTATTTGCTATATCCTTCACTCATATCTCTCTCTCTCTGTGAACACGGAGAACAACAGATGTGGCGCTCGATTGGGACCTAGGCTCTTAGCAACTGACCGATGCTTATTTGCTATGTTTGAAAATGTACAGGACACACACAGGCACAGACAGAGAGATGAATAAAGATGATTGATAACATTACAGGTTGTTTGTGTGTGGTTTAGTTTGTCCGTTACTTTCGACAACAGGTAGGTTGGTCCGATGGCAATGGAGCCCGAATTTGGAATTTCTACTCCGCGAAACCCTTCTCCGGTTTGATTGAGCCTCTCTTCCGGAATTATTTTTATCATTTCTCTGCATTCCATAGTTTGATTTGTTTTCTTTAATTCTTTATTACCTTCTACTGCTGTCTATTTTGTTGGGTTGGGTTGATTTATGCTTGTATTCGTTTGTTTAGATCTTGCATCTCTGCAAAGAAAATAGAACATTTGGTAAAAGTGAATGATGCACAATCTAAAATTTTCCAATTTTTTTCTCCACTATACAGCATCCAAATCCAAACATAACAATAGGGTTTAATGCTTGTTTACAACCAACCTTTATTTTTCACCTTCTCAGAAAACGTCATATTGTTCCACGGGGTAACGATACACCCTAATCGTTTCAGATGACATTTTCCCCCTTCTGCTAGTCGTTCCAATTTAATATGCAAATTCAATTCTAATTATTTCTTAACAAATTCTTTGAGTTTGAATTTCTGTTGTTTTTATTTTTAAATTTTCCAGAGTTGACATTAGAAAGGAGAAAGTAAGCATTTCTAAGCTTGCTTAAGAATTACGAGACTTGCCATGAAGTTTGAATCACTTAGCTGATATTGCAGAAATGCATGAGTAATCTTTACAGCCAATTATTCTGAGTGACTACTCAGCAAATGTTTGACATCTTAGTGGCCTTGACCTTTTTGGCTTTTACTAATTGAAATCAGGGTTCTTATAGGAGCCCCTTAGGCCTAGTTTGGGAAGACTAAATAAGTGCACTTTTTGACTTTTTATGAAATATGGGTTGGATTTGGGTTGGGTTTGAAGTGATGTATTAGAGAGGTGATGTGACTTAAATAAGATGATGTGACTTAAATAGGATAGTGACTTTTTGACTTTTTGTCTTTTTTCAATCATGCCAAACTTGGCCTTAATATATATATATATATATACACATATTTTATAGACAACATATGGGGTTGTCACACTTTTTACTCATTAGGTCAACTTCTTGTTGGTTGGGATCTGACTGTTGTCTCTAGGCTCATCAGTTTGTCATCACATTTGGATTTATTTGGTTAGCTGGTAGCACAATTTATTTATTTATGCACACAGTTAGAATGCTTGCACTGGAACAGGGTGGATGGTACCATTGTGTTTCATGTTGTATGCTTATGCTGCAAAAGTTTTGTTTTAAACATTGTCAATTCTAAACTTTGACATGTGCAGGTTATAAATTCAATAAGGGAATCTGCACAAGTCCAGTTTTGTTGTCACTACTTTTAGGACCGACCTTGAGTTTTATGGGGTCCTAGGTAAACTTTTAAGATTGGATAAAATCAAATTATCCACAATTTTTTTAAATAAATTTGTTAAGTGATTATAACATAAATTAAAATTTTGTTATAAATTTCTTTCTAGCATGCTTAGGGATGGTAACAGGGGTGACTATTAGTTCAATGGTAAAATCTTGGCCTAATAACCTTGAGGTTATGGGTTCAAATCACAAGGCAACCACTTTGTGCACTATGCTAAAGGTTAGGTGTATACTCAATCTTTTCTCTTCCAAACACACATTAATGTGTATTAATTAGGCGTTGTTCTGCTTAGGGATGGTAACGGGTCGGGTTTTTATTGGGTTTTGCGCGCGAATTGTTGATTTTAAACTCAACTATTTTACTAATACAATTTAATATTTTACTCTAACCCTAACAGCTTTAACCTACCTACCCCTATACTTTACCCGACACAATCAATACTGTCCCAAACCTTTTTTTTATTCAAATCAGGTTGGAATAAATACAATCAGGTCGGGTAACCCCAAGGGGTTTGCCTGGTGGCAAGGTCTTGGGTCTTGGGGGGTGTGCTCCCTCTAAGTTGCAGGGATCGTGCCAATAAAATTATAAAAAAAAAATACAATCAGGTCGGGTAATTTTCCCATGCAATTTTCTATTAATACAAGTTGTTTAAGAAATTCTCTTGCAATTAATTCTAACTCTCCTAAAGTTCCTATTTGTTTTAAGCCATGAATTTAAATTTTTTTGGCTTTTTCAAGGTTTTCTATCCTAAAACAATTAATATTAACTCACCTAAAATTCCTATTTGTTTTTGGCTATCTTGGTGGCCTTCACCCATGGCTAGGCATGCTAGTTTTGGCATTAAATTGCAATTCTAAGTCTTTTTATTATTTTTGATATATGTTGTGGTAATATGATGTCTATGGTTTTGCATTTATCAGTGCACTAGTCCATCACGTCATTTTCAAGTATTTTACACCATGCAGACTGTATTTCACATCTCCTAAGCTGATGAATGCTGCATACATATTAGGGACAAGTAAAAGTGTGCCGAACCTGCATCTTATGCATAGTTAACTGATTTTGAAGACCAACATCATGGACTAATGGGGAGTCAAACATAATTAGTGTGTTTGGTTTGAGTTTTTTGGATTAAGTTTTTTGAAAATTGAGTTTTTTGGTTTTCGTATTTTTTAATTTTTAGTGAATATTTTTAAAATTTTAAACATTTTTTTGTACTTTTTTAGATGTACCTTACTTAGATGTATCTAAAAAGTAAAAAAAATTGTATAAAAAAATTGTATAAAATATTTCAAAAATTAATAAATACATAAAAATACAAAAAAAATGTACTGAATTTTCGTAATTTTTTTTGTATTTTTGATATTTAGTAAATTTTAAAAGGTTTTTTTCACAAATTTTTTACTTTTTAGGTAAATTTATGTTAGATATGTCTAAAAATTGAAAAAAATGCTTAAAATATTAAAAAAATTCAGTAAAAACAAAAAAATACGAAAAATAAGAAAGTAGAACTTTTTAAAAAGTGTTTTTGGAAAACTCTAACCAAGCATATTGAATAGTATCTCAAGTTGATGACGGAATCTTATGTTTTGAGGTGACAAACCTTATTTGCATGCATGCACCATAGCATGTTACTGATTCAATTCACTTAGGATTATCATTATCATGTTCCATGAACAAATGGGGAAGCCAGAAGTGGCTCCTTTTTGTATCTTTTGTCTGCCAGTGATAAGCTTGAGTAAGCTAAGTAGGATTATATTAGAACCAAAATTACTTACTATGTTTTAGAATCTAAATGTATAAGATTAGAAATGAGTGAAATTGTTAATAATGATGATGAACAAATACCAAACAACAACCATTTTCAGTATCTTGAAATGCTTGTTCCTATGGCGTAGAGATTGATTTTGACATTTTTTTTAATGGAATTAGAGTAGAATGGACATAGTAACATGCATTAGGTGTCTTGTGTGCCTACGAGCTCAACCATGCTTTGTAAGGTACCTGTTTATGAAACGACTGTAAATGGATTAGCGCAATGAGAATGAGTAGTGAGACAAGAAAGATAGGGTAAGCAACAAAGGCATTTTGAAAAACTTAAAGGTAACACGAATGTGTGAGAGAAGCTTACAACTTCTGAAGAAATGGCCCTAGATGAGTTGCATGATGAGAGAGTATAAGGCTCATAAAAAAAAATTGATGAGAAAGGATGGATCCTCACCAACACATACAAGCCATGTGCACTGGGTAATCCCAGGAAAAATCAAACCTGAGATGTCTGGTCACTGGCCAACTTACCTTTCTTGGATTTCCCTGTTCTGTCTTGTTTGCAATATCTATGGTTTAACGTCATATTAATGTGAACAGTTTATCATGTTTGAACAATGCATCAATCCAATGAGTTTTGAACTTGAACTGAACTTAATATATGTGGCCTTGCAGTATTCATGGGTGAATCTCTCGAGGAATCTAATGCTAGCATACCAAAGCTTTGGTGTGGTATATGGAGACTTGAGCACTTCACCTCTTTATGTTTTTAAAAGCACATTCATAGGGAAGTTGCAGAATCACCAGGATGAGGATGCAATATTTGGTGCATTTTCATTAATTTTTTGGACCCTGACGTTAATTCCTTTGCTCAAATATGTGTTATTGGTATTGAGTGCCGATGATAATGGCGAAGGTGCGCCTAGACTTTCTTTTAATGAAATGCTCATTGATAAGGTTTGTCTCTGGTTATATTTTACCAAATCTAATTCAATTATCAGGTGGGACATTTGCTCTTTACTCGCTGCTTTGCAGGCATGCAAAGTTTAGTTTACTTCCCAATCAACAAGCGGCTGATGAGGAGCTGTCTGCTTACAGATATGGCCCCTCAAGACAGGGTCCAGGTTCTTCATCACTGAAGAGATTTCTTGAAAAGCACAAAAAAGTGCGGACATCTCTACTTATTGTGGTGTTATTGGGGGCTTGCATGGTCATAGGTGATGGTGTGATTACTTCTGCAATTTCAGGTAACTTAATCTTAAGTCATTTATGTTTTCAAGTGGAATAACCTGAAATTTCTTACATATTGTTATCATCCACAGTTTGGCTTTTGTAGTTGAATCCATGAATTTATATTTCCTAAATTGCTTTGCAAATCTACATTTTGAATTCTAATTTGTTTCACCAGTGGGACAATAAGCAAAAGTAATTGATGTTATATTTCGTTGTTTTTATTTTTAATTTTTTTTTTTATTTCTGTGTTTTTGAACTGTACCGATCACCCAACTCACACGTTATGATGTGTCAATTCTGCTTATCATGCGATTCTGTTGGTCTGACAAACTTACCATAGGTTATGCACCAAAACTACTTACTGCAATACTTGTCCTACATTGTAATTGTATCATTAGATGGTTGGGTCTTCTGGGTTCACCTTGCTGCCTATTCTGGTTATGGAAATAATTTTATCTCCCAAATATAGGATTTTATCTGCTGAATGTTCTGTTAGTAGCATTTTCCTTTTTGCATGCGGTTTTATTTAGAGACTTAGATTTTCAATGGTTTGTTATTCTTGGTTTCTTTGAGAAATATGGAAGTGCAGAACCCGTGTCTTTTTGAATTTTCTTGTGGATCAAAGAGGTCTAACATTGGGCTCATGTTTTTTTTATTGCAGTTCTGTCATCAGTATCAGGGCTTCAAGTTACTGAACATAAGTTGACCGAAGGTAAGGTGTTGATTCAGTTTTAGTTTCACCATTTATATCTGTTCACAATCTAACTGGGATTTCCATGTGCTGACTTTGTTTTTCTTATCGTTTGTGCTACTTTTTATATGTAGGTGAATTGGTATTGCTTGCCTGTGTCATATTGGTTGGACTATTTGCATTGCAGCATTATGGCACTCACAGGGTAGCTTTTGTGTTTGCTCCAATTGTTATTATCTGGTTGATATCAATTTTTTCCGTTGGGCTGTACAACACTATACATTGGAACCCAAAAATTGTACTTGCAATTTCTCCACATTATATCGTGAAGTTCTTTAGTGAGACTGGTAAAGAAGGATGGGTTTCGCTTGGAGGGATCCTTCTATGCATAACAGGTATGTTGGAACTGTGCACTAGTGACTTGTTTCAGGTTTACAGATATGCTTAGTATTGCAGGTATGGAAAAATGAAGTTTAGTTTTTCTTCTCTCTTTTTTTGGTTGAAACAGTTTAGTCATTTTCACGAATCTAGACAGTGGTTAGTATTTGTTATACATATACAATTCATTACTTCATGAAACTAAGAATACTGATTATCCTTCCTTGAATTGTGCCTCCTAATCGCTGAGCTTTGTTGGGCTTGTCAGGTACTGAAGCTATGTTTGCAGATCTTGGCCACTTCACTTCCTTGTCCATAAGGGTAAGTCCTAATCTGATCTGTATTCTGGAAATAGGAATTACTGAGGCCAGATGTTGATAACAATAATAGGTTACTGGTAGTGGTATTCTGATGCTGGGTTGAGGACCCACCATATTTTTCAGTCCTGTTAGGTCTCAAATGCATTATTTTATTGTTTAGTCTATTGCATTGTGTGGAGAGTCGGAAACTAAAGTTTGAAACAGGTAATATAGGTCAAGCATTACCACTGCTGCTGGTTCTCTTGTTATTATTATTTTTGCATTCAGTTATTACTATCTCACATAAATCCTGGAGAATTGGAGGTTAGCGGCTTCACTATGAACGAGGGGAATGGATGAGTTGTTAAAATGTGAACTCTGTGAATTAGTATATTGTCTTTTGTTTTAAAAAGAAGTGTCATGGATATTTTTGGAAGAATACAGGGAATGTCTACAAAATGTCATATATCTACTGCTGGTTCTATACTCCAACAGTGGTTTGCAGGCCTCACATGTCTAAACACTAGAGGCATGGCATGTGCATAGAGCGTGGATATTTTTGGAAGAATACAGGGAATGTCTACAAATGTCATATATAAAGCATTTCCTTTTTCTTTTTTCTTCTTCCTTTTTTTTTTTTTTTTTTTTTTTTTTTTTTTTTTTTTTTTTTTTTTTTTTTTTTTTTTTTTTTTTTTGTGCGCGCGTGTGGCATTCAGTTATTACTTTATCAAATCAATCCTGGAGAATTTGATGCTAGTGGAGTTGCTATAATGAGGGGAATGGATAAGGTGTTAAAATGTGAATTCCATGAAATTAGTATATTGTCTTCATAGATACTTCCTATGCTGCTGGGTGTCGTTAACATGTAGGCAGGGATATGTACCTTACACGTCATGACTCATTGGAAGTTGCACGTAGCCTTCAGGGACATGTGTAGGTCCATGTGTTAGGTCATAAACGGAACTACATTGAAGGAATTGCGTGCATCTCGTATATGCCCCCATCCTAAAAATCAAGCCTGCCGAACTTACACCCATTGAACTGTTCCATCTCTTCCCCATTCTCTCTTAGCTTGACTGTTCCATCTCTTCCCCAGTCCTCCTCTGGATGACGTGTTCTAGCACTCTCCGGTGAACTTCTGATCCCTATCACCCCAATCACATTCTTCTCTTTTAAAAAGAGCTGACATGGATATTTTTCGAAGAATACATGTAATGCCTAAAACATTGTGCCCTGTGTATATAAATTGTATGGACATCATATAATTTACTACAATAGTACATATCCATTTTAATTATGTACAGTTAGTGATCTGAACATTCTTCTTATCTGTGCAGCTTGCATTTGCATTTGTTGTATACCCCTGCTTGGTTGTGCAATACATGGGCCAGGCTGCTTTCCTGTCTAAAAATACCTCATCCATTCCTAACAGCTTCTATGACTCAATACCTGGTTTGTTCATTTTCACCACACTTGGAACTTTGAACATTTTGTTGATTAAGCCAAATTTTGTCTTGATCTTCTTTTGATCGTTGGTTATCTTGCAGATGCTGTATTTTGGCCTGTCTTCATTATTGCTACTCTAGCAGCTATTGTTGGAAGTCAAGCTATCATCACTGCAACGTTCTCCATTATCAAGCAATGCCATGCCCTTGGTTGCTTTCCGCGAGTCAAGGTTGTGCACACCTCAAAAAATATTTATGGGCAGATATATATACCAGAAATTAACTGGATCCTCATGATCATTACTCTTGCTATAACAATTGGGTTCCAGGATACAACTTTAATTGGAAATGCTTATGGTAAGAATCAATTTGGGAATTGCATGATCTCTCTCTTTCTCATAAATCTTTGAGCATTATATTGATCTTGCCTATAGCTTATTTATATTTCCAAAACTAGTTTTCCAAGTCTTGCTTTATTTATTAATGTCATCTTCATATTTCTGTTTCATAATCTGACCTGTGCACACACAAACACATAGGACACATGCAATGTATAGACATAAGCATGTGTCACAGATATGGAGACCTGAATGATGCTGTCTATTTTGGCCCCAATTAAAAGAAAAAGAAAAAATGCATCAAAAAAAGCAGAAATGTGGACATACATGTAAGCATGTGCTACATAAACAGACATTGCACTCTAGCTCTCCGACCCCACCCTAAAAGCATGTGTCACAGGACACATATATAGAGACCTGAATGACCCATTTGCCCCCAAATTAAAGAAAAAACCCACATCAAAAGGAAGAATAAGAAACGTCTTGACATACACGTAAGCATGTGCAAACAAATAAAATAAAATAAAAAGGTAGAAAGTATTAGATCATGATGTGCATACTTGCGAGCTGCACAGAAACACTTATTTCTAGCTCCATTGAGGTTTCTGACAAATACATGGACCTCCCCTGTAGTTTCAATAATTACAAAAACCTCCCCTATTTTAACTAACAATATCAAGATTTCCCCAATCCGTTAGTTTTGCACAAACAACATTACTTGTCTATACAAAATGACCATATTACCCTTTAATTTAAGTGTGAAAAGACGAAATACCCTACAAAGTATGCTGTTTCTCTTTTTTAACCCAAGCCACCATCCATTACTTCTCTATTTCTTTCTTTTCTTTCATTGTCCTATTTCTTTCATATCTCTCCTTCTCTATCTTCCTAACAGTGAAATCAAACCCTATTCTCTCTCTCTCTCTCTCTCTCTCTCTCTCTCTTTCTCTCTCTCAACCCAACCCAATCCAACGGTGCCTCTCTTTTTGGTCTCCGACTCCGACGAGGAGACCACCGACGACGAGATCGGACCTCTTTTTTTCTCTTGTGACGACGACCAACGACCCTCACCACACCCAACCTAACCTACCCTCTCCAAACAAACTCTACAATCAGACTACCACCAACACTTGTTTCTCCTTTTCTGCAATCGAACAACCACTGTAGAGTATAGTTCTAAATCGCACAAATCCAAACCAAACCCAAAGAGGTGATGGTTGGTATGGTTGTAATAGTGGAGGAAAAGATTGTGGCTGAGGTAAATGCAACGATGGTGGTTTCAAAGGCGAAAAGGGGTTGTGTTGCTAGATTGGTGTAAGAGATGGTAAGGGATAAGATTAAGCTTGCCTTTTACTCACTCCACAAATTCCCTCAGTTTTTGGAGTCCAGACAAGAGGTTTCAATTTCCAACTAGTCTCTGCCTTGCTGATATAATTTATTTGATTATTAGATTTTGATTTTGTATGGGAAAATTATTTGGTGGTGTTTGGCCAATTTTATGTTGTTCTTTATTTGATTTGTATGGATTAAAATAATGGAATCTAATATTGTTGTATTGATTTTTATTACAAAATAACTTGGAACTTTTGTAATGAATAATATATGAATATCAAACCCACAGAGGTGATGGTGGTTATGGTTTTAATAGTGGAGGGAAAAGGTTATGGCTGAGGTAAACGCAACAATGTTGGTTTCAAAGGTGGAAAGCGGTTATGCTGCTAGATTGGTGTAAGAGATGGTAAGGAATGAGATTAAGCTTGCCCCAGTTTTGGGAGTCAGGACAAGAGGTTTCAATTTCCAACTAGTCTCTGCTTTGCTGATGTAATCTGTTTGATTGTTAGATTTTGATTTTGTTTGTGAAAATTATTTGGTGGTGTTTGGCCAATTTTATGTTTTTATTTGATTTGTATGGATTAAAATAGTGGAATCTAATATTTTTGTATTGGTTTTTATTACAAAACAAGCTGACACTTTTGCAATGAATAATATATAGAGAGTTTTTTTTAACACCACCAAATCCACGATCACAGATTTGATGGCTGAATGGTGGTTATTGTAAGTTGTGGGTGGTGGCTTTGGGAGATGGGGTCACTTGGTAATTTTATGAATAAATGGTTGAGTGGTGGTTATTATAAGTTGTGGGTGGTGGCTATTCTGTGGTTTGTAACAGGAGCAATGTAGATAAGAAACAAGGTAGGACGAATAGAGGAGAGAGAGAAATAAGAGATGGATGGGTTCAAGACACTTAAGGGTATTATAGACATTTTAGTATTTATCTTTGATGACATCAGCATCTTCTGTTAGTCATATGAACGGCAGTCAAAAAATGGGAGAATCTTGATATTGTCAATTAAAGTAGGGGAGGTTTCTGTAATTATTGAAATCACAGAGGAGGTTCCTGTATTTGTCAGAAACCTCAGGGAAGGTAAATGTAATTTACCCAATTTATAAATAAAAGAGAAATGTGAAGTTACTTGTAACTTCTAAGCACTCCTACACATAAACACATGGATGCACACATACAACCACACATTTGCACTCTATCTTTTGCTATTGCTTGAAAATTTGTTAGATCATAAATATAGATTATATTGGTAACCGAACCAATTTACCATTAGGAATGTCCATTTGGGGAGCTCCAAGCTTCTTTGCATCTGCCATTCATATGACACAGGCAGGAGAAAAGCTTTGCCTTCCTTTCTCTGTGTCTAGTCAGTTTCTTATTGAGTGTCTTACCTTTCTGCTGTTTTGTTTGTTTTAACGGATTATCTTTCTTATTGTCTGGTTTTTGATTCCCAGGTCTCGCTTGCATGACAGTTATGTTTATCACAACTGGTCTCATGGGACTTGTTGGACTCTTTGTCTGGCAGAGAAACATTATACTAGTTACAGCATTCCTTCTCCTTTTTGGGTTTATTGAGGGTGTCTACCTGTCATCTGCACTCATAAAAGTTCCTCAAGGCGGATGGGTCTCTCTCGTTCTTTCTTCTGTCTTTCTGGTTATCATGTGTGTCTGGCACTATGGAACCCGCAAGAAGTACAACTTTGATCTTCACAACAAAGTTCCTTTGAGATGGATACTTGGCCTGGGCCCTAGCCTTGGTATTGTCCGTGTGCCTGGAATAGGCCTCATATACTCAGAATTGGCGACAGGAGTGCCTGCAATCTTCTCTCACTTTGTGACAAACCTCCCAGCATTCCACACCGTATTGGTTTTTGTTTGTGTAAAATCTGTTCAGGTACCCTATGTCTCATCTGAGGAACGATTTCTTATTGGTCGCGTATGCCCAAGACCCTATCGGATGTACCGTTGCATTGTGAGGTATGGGTATAAAGACATTTCACGAGATGATGGAGACTTTGAGAACCAGCTTATCCAAAGTATAGCGGAGTTCATCCAGATGGAGGCTGTAGAACCAAGTTTACCGAGCTCAGACAATGCATCATTTGATGGGAGGATGGCTGTCATAAGCAGCACCAGAACCATTGAATCAAACGCATGCCTAATAGTATCTGAGCAAGAGGATTTAGCTGCGAACAACTCAATCCAAAGTAGTAAATCTTTAACCCTCCAGAGTTTGCGATCGTGTTACGATGACGAAAGCCCGCAGATGAGGAGGCGCCAAGTGAGGTTTCAATTGCCACAGAGGCCTGGGATGGATCCATCGGTTAGAGAAGAGCTAATGGACTTGATCCAAGCAAAGGAAGCAGGGGTTGCTTATATAATGGGGCATTCTTACGTGAAGGCGAGGAGAACTTCATCATTTTTTAAAAAGTTTGTTATTGACATTGCATATTCATTTCTTCGTAAGAATTGCAGGGGCCCTGCTGTGGCGCTTCACATTCCCCACATCAGCCTTATTGAAGTTGGCATGACATATTATGTTTAGCGGTTTGATCATATTGTTGAAGGAAACTAGTCTCCACAATGCCTTTTTGGCTATATTTCTTGAAAGAAAGAAAGAAAAAAGACGCATGTTGTGGACAAAATTTCTTTGCCAAATGGCAGTTGCATGGTATCACTCTCACAATTTAGATGGACTCGAAGCTGCTCTACTATTTTTTTGGCTTCTCTGTTTGAGTTGTTATATCTTCATCTTCTGTATATAGATAAGGCTTTGTTCACAATAAAGGACAGTTGAAGAAGAACGGGTATTTCCAACTTGCGTTTTGTTTTTGTGGATTTGAAATAAATCTTCCGATTGCTTTCTAACTATTGTGATACAATTTGAGGGGGTGAGGTGTGGGTAGGTTTTGTTTAAATGTGTTGTTGCTCCATGAACCAATGTGTGCCAGAAAAAAGGTTTCTGGGTCAGATTGGGGAAAATCTAGACATGAGCTGGGGTGCAGGTCGTGTACAAGGAGAGTGATATTCCCCGCACTCTCTCTCTCTCTCTCTCTCTCTCTCTCATGGTGGATTTATCCATGCGAAATGTAGGACTATGGGCATTGGCCTATGGGTGGGCATCGATCCGACCAGGTTAGGTCGGGGCTAGATTTGCACTCTATAGCAAAGCAAGGATATATGTATTATCTGAAGTTTGATTTGACTCACTATTTTACTTAGATGTTTTTTGACAATTCAATATTTTAGTTTAAAAGTCAAAAAATTACTAAAAAAATTTAATAGCCAACAACTTATATTAAAATGCTAAAGATATCCTTTTTTTCTCTATTTTTTCCACATATTTATGTAAAAAATTAAAAAGTTATTCTAAACATATTAATTTTTTTATTTCATATTTTAACTAAACAATCAAAAAGTTACTAAAATAGATTGTTTCTAAACGAGATCCTAGTTTAGCTATCAAGACTAATTCTAAAGTAACTATTAAATTTCAAACCCACATAAATAACTCGGTATATATATGATTTTAAAATTTTGAAGGGCTATTAAATAAATTTAGGCCATTAAAAAAATTTATTTGTTATTTATTGTGAACCTTTTAACAAATGTTTGGATTTAAATTCTAAAAAAAAAGAAACATATAATAATGCACATCCATTACATGAATGTAAATAATAGTTGGTGTGTTATTGGCTTAACAATATTTCCAAACGGAAGTACATACGAGAGAAATTCCTTGCCAATAATTTGACTTTCTATTTGTCCCATTTACATACTAGATTGTATATTGTTCAGTCTTTATAATTTGACTTTCTATTTTTCCCGTTTACATACCATTATAGATTGTATATAAATAAATAGAAAGTGGTCCCGTTCAGTCTTTAATTTAAACTGGACGGCATTGCTTAGGCTCGTGAGATTCATTATAAGTTTTGCTTCCATGATTCGAACTGTTTATTTTGTTATACATTTCGTGTATTTCATTAACACAAAAAAAATTAAGTCGGTCCGATAATCGTAACATATTCAATTCGCATAGATTATGATTATCGAATCAATTTAATTTTTTTTTGCGATTGATATACAAGAAATATGTGACAAAATAAACGATTTGAATCATTAAAATAAAATCTGTGGTGAATTTACGGCCCAACAGGGCCATCTATGTTCAACTAGTTCCTTAAGATGCTTAGCTTCTTTCAATTTCTTATTATGAAGTCAATTGGATCTTTGTTTTGTGCGCATGGATATCTTTCTTTTTCTTTGTTGTTGTTTTTCAAAAGAAGGAAAGTAGCTCAACCTATTCAACGGTCTTGTATACCGCCTTTGTTCATCCTGGCTCCAATTAAAAGAGTCAAATACAAGGCCATCAGTTGGATCACCAACTCCATCCAACAACTGCATGATGGCATGTAAAGCTCCTCTATCTGTGTGTGTGTGTGTGTGTGTGTCATATATATAATACAAAGAGAGATCATCATAAAAAACACAACACAAAATTGAAGTTAGTACAGTACAGTACAGTACAGATAATTAATTAAAGATGGGGATGATGAGGAGGAGGAGGTTTAACATTAACTTGTGTAGGGCAGGCAGTGAAAGTGAGAAATGGATTGTTATGGTTATGGTTGTGTTGGGTATCATGATGATGATTACAGATCAGTGCTGGGCTCAACCACAACCACAACCACAACAACAACAACAACAACACCAACAACAGGGCAGTAGTGTAACATCGTGCGTAAACCAGCTTATTCCATGCTTCAACCACCTTAATCTTAGAGGGAGCCATGACAACCCACCAGATAGTTGTTGTAATCCTCTCAAATCTGTGATTAAATCAAACCCTGAATGCTTATGCAGTATGATTAGCATCAAGGCCACCAATGCAGCTCAGCAGTACGGCATCAACCTAACCGACGCTCAGCAATTGCCGGCAGATGCGGCCAGCATGTTAACCCCATCGCCTGCCTTACTACAGGTATACCACACGCACACATATATATGTACTCCCACACTCCATTCCTTTTTCCTGTGTTTTGGATCACAAATTTTGGACAGATTTTAAATATGAAAACGAATTGCATGCACAAACGGCTTAAATGTGAGAGAGAATAGAGGAGCTTCGGTGCGAAATAGAAGAGATGGTTTATAGAGATTTTTTTCTCGAGTCACAGCTTCAATACCTGTGAGAGAGAAGACTCAAGTGCAAGAGAAAAATGAGGGTTTGTAGAGGGTGTCTTTTCGGGTCACGATTTTAGTATTTGTGTGTGTATGAAAGTAAGTGATTAAGGTGAGAGTGCCTATTAGTTCCTGACGACATTTTAATAAAGAGAAATAATTAGTGATACAATATTGTGGGGATATATTTTCTGAATACCAACACGTGGCATGGTGACGCCGACGTGTTAGCCGAGGTGCCACGTGTCGTGGTAGTTAGGCCGAGATGATCTCGGAGTTGCCGAGGTTATCTCCGAAGATATCGGAATCCGAGATAAGCGAATAAGGGACAAGAGTCCTAAGACGAAGAGGGGACTTAACCAAGATAAGGATAAAGCTCTTAGGGAGTTTATCTTTATCTCTTAAAGAGTCCAAAGTAAGCACTGGATTAGAGTTCATAGAAGTCATACTTCTAGTAGGACTTGGACTGAATATATTATAAAAGAGAGGCACCCCCGTGGGTCTAAGGTATGCAATTTATGTTTTGAGTATTAAGTTTAGCACTTGATTATCTTTGAGAGATATACTGACTTGATCGTCGGAGTGCCCCCGAGTGGAAGAACCACCGCCGGAGCCTTTTCCTTCTATTATAGGTTGTTGAAGCCATCTATTCTGCCTGTGCTCTCCAGTTGATCACTAAGCAGGCAGTGTGGTCAGATTCTCACTCACACAATTTGGCGCCGTCTGTGGGATCACTAAGCAGGCAGTGTGGTCAGATTTTCACTCACATAATTTGGCGCCGTCTGTGGGAACAAAGGAAGAATAGATGACCAGTAACGGACAGCAGGAAAAAATTGGGGATGACGGTCCCGCCGGGAGTGGCAGACCAATTGACCTTGACATTGAAGGAGACAACCAAAATACAGAAGCCCGTGACCAGGGTCACAGAGAGAAAGACGTCATCCAGGAGGGCGACACGTCAAAAATGACAGACCAAGGAAAGTACTACAATGAAGATAACCTCCAGGTATGGAGCGACAGGTGCCTACGGAGGGATGAGGAAGTGAAAGAATTGGCGAACAAGTTGGCAGACCTTCAGTCAGTCGTCAACTTCATGATGCAGAATAATGTTATGCAGCCACCATACCCGCTGCAAGATATGCCGATGCCAGCAACCAACACCTAGAAGGGTGGAAGAAAAACAATCCCCGAGGTCCCTCAACATACCAGGAGCGGAAGGCATTCTCACCGGCCTTCCAGGGTAGTCGGACGAGAAGAGCCGAGGCAAGAAGAGTCCCGAAGGACGCACCACATGAAGAATCCAGAGCCCAAAGAACATCGGCATGTTCAAGGGCAAGTACTCTGCTTTGACACAACCCGTGGAGAAAGATCCAAGCGAGCCCACCACGAGGCCGAAAGCAGTGTACCAAAAAGACTAAAATCCAAAGACAGCCGAGCTCCAGGGAGGAGCAAAGAAGACCTGAGGGACTACCTTAGAAGGAGGCAGCAGAATGTTGAAGCCGAGGTAAACTCCCCAGTAAAGCCGAAGACAGCCTTCTCGGTGGAACTGGACAAATTCGAACCACCAAAGAGATTCAGTATGCCGAGGTTTCAATTTATGATGGTAAGTCAGATCCAAACTTTCATGTTGGACTATACCTGAATTCAATGGCGTTATATAGCGGGAACGAGCCGTTGCTCTGCAAAGTATTCCCCTCATCCTTTGGGGAAATAGCATCTGATTGGTTCCATAAATTACCAAAGGGAAGCGTAAAGATATGGGAAGGCCTGGCCGAGATGTTTGTGGCCAGGTTCGTGACCAACAAACTGCAACCCCTGACGGTTGATGCTTTGATGGCTCTAAGAATCACCAAGGAAGAAGGCCTTAGGGCCTATGCGAAGAGGTACTACGAGGTGTTCAACCGAATACCCGAATGCAACCAAGAGGTAGCGGTCGTGTCTTTCAAGAACGGCCCGAAAGATGACTGTCCACTACGGAAGTCTTTGGCAAAAACATTGCCAAAAAGCATGGAAGAACTCATGGCAAGAATTGAGAAGTACGCTAGAGCCGAAGAAGATACATCGGGAAACAAAGAGGTAAAGCAAGCAAAGGAAAACGGAAGAACTCATGGCAAGAATTGAGAAGTACGCCAGAGCCGAAGAAGATACATCGAGAAACAAAGAGGTAAAGCAAGAAAAGGGAAACGGCTCACCGAAGCGAGCCGAGGCAACAATGGGCCGACCAAACAAGAAACAGAGTTGAGAAGTAAACAGGCAGTAATGACGGTATTCCGAATCCCAATCCATAAAGTCCTAGATCAAATTTGAAACCAACCTTATTTCAGGGCTCCGACAAGAGCACCAGGGGAATTCATGGGGAGGAACGTTGGTAGACGATGTGCCTACCACAATGAAGAAGGGCACCCAACCCAAGGTTGCAGAGCCTTGAAAGCACACTTGGAGAACCTGGTGAGACAAGGCCTTCTGAGGGACCTGGTCGATGAAGCCAGGACAAGGGAAGAACAGGCAAGGTTGCCTCAAGCACCAGCAGCACCCCCTCCCCCAGCACAGCTACCACAAGCAGGAGGACCAAGGGTGGTTAATGTGATCCACTCAAGGGTCAACGAAAACGAAGTCAGAGGAGAAACCCAGAG